GGACGCATCTACTAACCACTAGTGCGAATACGTTCTTTGGTGTTTGCAAATTGAGCCCTCTAGTGGTGATCCCGCCTACGACCACGTGAATCACCGCCAGTACGAAAGCCAGAGTCCCTAAAGACGCATGGAGGCGACGGCAGGAATGCAGTGACATGTGCAGAACGTCTGCCAACATGCCCAGACATGGGCTTGCAAAACAAAATAGCAAATTTATCACCGAGAGCGTTCCGGTGCGAGTGATAACCTGATCTATATCTGGGAGAGGAATCACAACGCAGACCCCCCTTGCCAAAATGTAGGCCAGCAGCAACAAGCTGTCGGCACAACTCCAACGTTCAATGAATTTTCGCCGATTGAGCACGGTCGGGTAGACGAGGTAGATAGAAAGATATCTTCCTACGACAAGGAAGGGCGACAGCCCAAGCTGCAATGCAGCTGGACAAAGTGCACGCGCGAATATGTAAACAGGCTGGCGGAGGACGAGCAGGCCAAAGAAAGCACCAAATGCGATAGAGTAGAGAAGCGTAGACTCATACATTGCTAATATTGACAAGGAGAGATAAAGTCAGCGGAAAGAACAGGGGATGCACCATTTATATACCGATTGCTAGTGCGCGTAGCCTCCGCAGACAAGGTTGTGTAACCAACACTACCCGGGTCCGCCGCGCCAGCCACGCACCAGCACCATCTCCTAGTGCAACCTCGCGCCTTGACAAATACTGAACTGCAATTCTCAGACACATAATAATACTCGCGCTATTGTATCGCAAACGCTTTACTACTGCATCTGGTGCTAGTGTCGTGGACGACTCGGCCAAGGCAGGTGTTGCGGGCCTGCTTTAGTACCGTGGCGCCCATGTCTGCCATCTCAGAGCTACGGAGTGGCACCGTGTCACTCTCCAGTCCACCCAAAAGCGAAAGCATTGTACTGTAGGGTGAGTATTATCCATCAAAAGCACTATTGACCAAACAGTTGGAACTCATCAGAACTCATTAACATTTCCATGTACGAGTCCGCATGCAAGCTCTCATCCACATCGTTTGTAACAACGGTATCAAAACTCAGCCCTTCTGGCACAACATCTGCGCCGGGAGGAATAAATTCTGGGTCATGAGCAAGCGATAGCGGCGTACATTCCGTAAGTCCGTCTTCTGTATATTCGTACTCGCACATGCTTGAGTCAATCAGTGAATTTAGCGGCTGCTCATTAGGAAGCATTGCTGCGTCTCCACCATCGATCGCAAACTGAGGATTGATCTCGACACAATTGAGCAGTTCAGGCAATCCTTTTATGACGATGTCCGCTTCAGGCAAATTCTCCAAAA